AGGAAAATCAAAATAAATTAGGTAAACAATAGAGATATTTGAGGAAAATCAAAATAAATTAGGTAAACAATGGAGATATTCGAGGAAAATCAAATTAAATTAGGTAAACAATGGAGATATTCGAGGAAAATCAAAATAAATTAGGTAAACAATGGAGATATTCAAGAACAATCAAAATAAATTAGGTAAACAATGGAGATATTCTAGGAAAATCAAATTAAATTTGGTTAAACAATGGAGATATTCTAGGAAAATCAAATTAAACTTTTGAATTAAGGATTGACATATTCTATGAAATTAAATCAAACTTAAATTAAGAATGGGCGTATTCTGGGAAAAACAGATCAAACACAAGGCACTTTTCTTCAAATATGAGTTTATCTCTGAAAAAAACACCAGATCATAAGACAAAGGTAGGTTTCGATCACTCAAGTGGGAGATATTTTTTGACAATTCAAAACTGCACATTAAAGAACAGCGTAACAGTACACTCCAATATTTATTAGGTATTGTCACAAGAGGACATTTCAAAATCGGTTGTTCACAAGCTAACAGGCATGGCTCGCTCCCCCATAGTATAGTGGTATATAACATAATCTCGCACATGATAGAAAAAAGTTAAAAAAAAAAATTGACAGCAACATGATCACAAAAGCAAAATCTACAATAATAGCAAAATAATTCTAATATCTCACAACTCCAAGTATCTAATGGTCACGTCCTTACCGATTGAAGCCCAAGTTGGAGCTTGCCAGATATCATTCAGCTGCCAATAGAGGGCGCCCATCGTCTTTCCCTGGCCGTTCTTGTCTAGTGAGCTCTGGAGACTACGGTAGTACTCAGTTTCAGTCTTAATACACATAGCTTGTACTATCTGGTGAAAATTATAAAATAAAATAAATACGGTTATTCAAGAAGAATTTTTAATGAAGGTGCTGGTAATAAAATATCTTATCATAACATGCATTTTATTATAACAAAGGAAACGAGAAAATAAAAATATACACAACTGCGGCAAACATCAAAGTGAACAGAATGAAGTTCCGTGCGATAACTCCTGCTGTTTGGGGGCATACAACAAGCTACATGTATATCACACATTTTCCAGTAATTTACGTAAGAGTATATTACTTGGGGTTTGCAATGCGCATAGTACTGTATGGTGACATCATGCCAAGATTCCATTCAAGTCTCTTCTCGTAGATAGTGAGACTGATGCTACGACCTTCTGACATGACATAGGCGGTTTGTAATAAAACAATAAAACATGTATTACCACATTCATAGTGAAAAAATGTAATACATAGAAAATATAGTTATCGTAATCCGTCATGTCGTGAGCAGCTATTTTGATCCACCTGGACATCCCAGTACCCTAGTTACCTCGGGCATGCACATTCGCATTTTTTTTGGAGTTGGAACGCTTATGCGAGAGGGAGATTGTAACGGGATCTTGGTATCATGTCACCGTAGTTGCAAACCCCGAGTAATGTGCCTCTGACGTAACCTATTTTTAATAACGTATGCAGAGCCAAATACGTGCACAATATTGTACTGTAAATAAGGGCTTACACATGCGTTGGGTTTTATTTTGGTTTATTTCGCTGACACCTAATTGCACTAAATTCAAACCAAGTAAATATTCACATTTACATTAATAGTAAAAGTGTTAGGGTTTGTACAGGTTTCAGAAAATTTAATTTAAAATCTGTTTTTGCATGGAAATTAACACTTTTGCGAAATTCAGAAATTCAGCAGATAGCATGATTCTTTTGAATAGTTTTGAGACCTCCGCAAAAAAAAATGATGTATTCCAGTCTATTTCCAAAGCCTTGAAATACTGTAAAGGGGGTAATTATTCACTGGGTTTTAATTTAGCTTATTTCGCTGACTGGAAAATGCGCTAAATTAAAACCCAGTGAATATGTAAAATTTAGCATAGAACACATTCTCTAAATGACGAAACCAGGAATTTAAAACCCACTGAATATGCCTGAAATGGTAAATCAGTGAAATTTAAACTCAGTGAAAATTAGTCATTTTACAGTACCTGTGCATGCACGGGATTGGGTCCCAAGCAATAATAACAAAAACATGAAGGCTCATGGGTAGGTGCTTTTTTGTAAACAACGACATGCTATGGTTATGTACACACTTCAAAAGGAGAACTATTGTACCAACCACGATTTAATAAATGCAATGAAACACATTTTTTAAACAAATATTTTCATCACAAATTCACAAAATAGTTCCATTTATAGTCTGTGCTTTCCTTCAGAAATTGGGACAAAAATAGCCAAATTTTTTGAGTAAAAACTAAAAATTGTCTTAATTTTTTTTTGTTGGCTCCAAAATTAAGGTTCATTTCCAGAAATATTGAAGCATATAAGAAAAAAGTGCAGACAAAATTTGGGTGAGAAAGTCTGGTGGTGAAAAGGTTAAAACACAGTGAATAATTAATGACTGTACAAGTACATACCTGTGTAAGGTACAGCATGTCTTCATATGTCTTGTTAGGATTGTTTGGTAGTTTGTAGTGCTGTAAGATCATTTTTTTCATTTCCTCATTTCCTGTAAGAGATTTAAAGTTACATTCTCACTTAAAGCGGGGAAATCGTCACCTGTGCATACGTCAGATGGCCATAGCGTGACGTTGTTTACAAACAAGCATCCACCCAAGAGCCTTTGCATTTTAATGTGCTTTGTTATCAACGATTGGGACTCAATTCCCGCGTGTGCACAAGTGACGACCCTTCCGCTTTAATGATAATACAAAAAACACGACGTATTCCATGTTTTTTTAAGGCCTTCCTCTCGCTTTAATGATAATACAAACAACATGATGTATTCCATGTTTTTTTTCTAAGGCCTTAAAACAGAGGGAGTCATCACCTGAATCCCAAGCTTATAAATGCAAAGGCTCATGGGTAGATGTTTGTATTTATAAACAGTGACACACTACGACAGCCAGAGATTTAAAGTTACATTACATGATCAGATCATTTAAATTAACAAGATTATTAATCTAATTAAATATGATAATTTGGAAATAAAAATGTTAGATATTCATATTTAGATATTAGTAATAATATCACAAAAATTAAATGAAAAATTACAGTAAATCTAATAATTTCTAATAAATATTGATAAAATAAAATGATTATAATAATCAGATTTAATAATAAATATTAATTTTTATATTAAATTAATCATAACATTTGTATAATAAATCAGATAAAATAATTTGAAAGCCTTAAAAACCACAATTTTGTTATGAATTTTCGCTTCATTAAAAAACATTCTCTTGAAAAGTCAACAGATGAGCTTTTCCTCAGGCTCTGGCCTGATTTCTTATTTCTCACTACTACTTTTTTGTTATTTTGTTTTATTGAGAAATCCACTTACATATCTGACCAAGAAACAAGTTTAGTTCAAATTACTCAATTATGAACGTCCATCAGAATGCTTGTTTCAAACCAAAATGTACGTCGCTGTATTAGACTGGCCCAGTCATGGCAATTTTATTGTCCTATATTATACTTTCTTAAAGAATGAGTCTGTAGAAGCTTCTGCGTTGATGCAAACTTTTCAAGACTGGTCTATTCTTCTGCGCCCTCTATAGTTTTTACCACATTTTATGATAAAATATGCTAATGAGTAGCTTGACTTGTAAGCTGCCAACCAATCAGAAGCCAGCTTTTGAACCGACCTATTCTACGCAACTACCTATAACGCATACATGACCTAATTCCTTCCATTCTTGAGTTTCAAACGTCACTGCATATCATGAATAATTAATATCAATTTTTACGTACAAAAATTATAGCATTAAAATGGTTAAATGTATGTAACCCATAGCAACCAACCTGTAGCATGATGTTGCCGATGACCACTAAAATTACTGCTATAGTCCCAGTCCTCTTCAATGGATACAGATCGAATAGTTTCAAATGACGGCCACGATTGATAGCCGTACTCCGATGCGAAACGTGGTTTGGGAAATGTGTTGATATCCCAGCAGTCATTGGTGTAGTCATAAAAGTGTACTAAAAAAAAAATATATAGAGGAAAATAATAGCAATGGTCAAGGTTATTTGATGATACTCTCCCCTAGAGGGCGCTGTTCAGTGCATGAAACAACTCCACCCCAAGAATTACCTTCCATTACTAGAGAGCAGCTTACTATTTTCCATCAATAGAGGGCAGCAACACAACACAACACATCAACACAAAAAGGATACTACCTTCTACCACTAGAAAACATCCTACTATTTCACACTACTAAAGGGCAGTGTACCACCTCTAGAGGGCAGCATACCACCTCCAGAAGGCAGCATACTACCCTTACACGGTCCAGTACTCACCATCCCCGTAGAGTGGATCTGCAGGATTTTTAGCAATCCAGTGTTCCTTCATGCTTTCATCCCCATTAGTTGGACTTGAACCAATAAACGGTCTGGTAGAATCCAATTCATCAATAACTGGTTTAATCGTTTCAATGTACAACTTTCTGTAATCGTCATCGTACAGGGTCGCGTTTTTATCGGTGCCATACCTAGTAAGCAAGAAATGGATCAACAT